ATTGGTAAGAGCTACACTTGCCTGTAAATATGAGAATGTATATTTAGAAAATGGTAAGAAATTGCATTGGTCAAGAGATGTGGCAAAAGTTGGTTTTCCTCTAGGACACATGACCACTCCAGCTATATGTATTTGGCTATGTTTACAGCACTACACATAAATTCCCTCTAAATGAGCAAGCTTGAAGTCCAATTAGAGAGCTGTTGATTACCCACAAGATAAAAGTGCCACTACTGCACTAATATAGTTGGCTAGGCCAGTCGTTGTTTATAGCTGGGTAGGAAAAATGATTGGTTTTCTCCCTTGGCAGCTTGCATAGCATCCTCTGCTACTATGAGAGGAGGCTTCAGGTCAGTTCCAGGTTTCTCCTGCCTGGTGCACTATATTTTTTGTTATGTGGCCTTCATGTATACACATGTATTGATATATATGAATGTTTTTCAGTAGGACTTTGAAATAATATATTTTCCTCTAGTTCTTCACACCATCTAAGCATTGTTTAGCTTTCTTCTCAATCCCCCTCCTAACCCTCCCTACTCCCTCCCCAGTTACAGCACCCATTCTTTTCCCTGTTTCCCCCTGATAACACCTGTCTCCTACTGGTCCCTTCACTGCACTCTCTTCTTCCCCTACCCACTCTTGGTTCCTTTCCGTTTTCCTGGATCCTGCGGTCACCTCAGGATGTGTATTCACATCTAACAATTTGAGCTAAGATCCACAAATGAGAAAGAACATATGACCCTTGTTTTTCCAAATCTGTTACTTCACTTAGTATAAGTTTCTAGTTTCATCTGTTTTCTTGCACATTTCATGATTTCATTTTCTTCACTTCTGAGTAGAGCTCAATTGTGTAATTGTACCACATTTTTGTTACCCATTCATCAGATGAGGGACACTTGGGTTCTTTTCATTTCTTAGGTATTACGAAAAGAGCAGCACCAAATATGGCTGTACAAGTATCTCAGCAGTAGGATGAGTCTTTGGGTATATGCTAAGGAGTAGTATTAGCAGATCATATGGTAGATTTATTTTTAGTTTTTAAAAATGAATAAGCTTTATTACATCAAGTAGTACATACACACAAAGATGCAAACAGTTTCAGTCATTTTTTCCAGATTTTCTGATCAGCTTACAGAAAATGTGGAAACAACATCTACACACAGTCTCAGGATGGAAATTCTCATGGTGCTTGTTAGGTTGGGCATATTTCTATTTCTTCTGTATTTATAACCTCTGCATTTTTAAAGATTGACTTCATTGCACTCAGGGGTTGTGGGGAAGGGTGCCCACCTAGGAAGTCTGAGTAAGGTCTGAGACTCTGTATCTCACACAAACTGCCCCCAAATGCCAACACTCACCAACTACTCAGTTGGAGGGCCCATTAGGTTTGCCAAACTTTACACAGTATTAATCACTTCTTTTTGAAAGCATTATCTCCCTGGAGTATTGGAGCACTCATTTTGGAGCCCAGGTCCTGGGAGCTCCCCTAAGAGTGTTTCTTATTCTATTCTTCTTCATAATCACCGTTGTCATCTTTTTTCTCTGATCATTCTAAACTGTCCATGGAGAATTTTTCTTCTTCTTATTTTTCTTATATGTGTATGTATATATTGCTGCATGTAAGTGTGCCCATGTCATGCAATGCCCTCCTAAGTCAGTAGGGGGTGTCGGATCCCCTGGCACTGGAGTTATGTACGGCTTTTAGCCACCATGTGGGTGCTGGGAATCAAACCCTTGTCCTCTGCAAGAGATGTCAGTGTTCTTAACCACTGAGCCATCTCTCTAGTAGCCATTTTCTCATTATTATTAGCTTTTGTTTTTGTTTTTTTGGGACAAGGTCTCCCTGTCGTCCTAGCTGGCCTAGAACTCCCTATGTAGTCCAGGCTGGTCTTGATCTCACACTGATCTGCCTTCCTTTGCCTCCTGAGTGCTAGGATCAAAGGTGTACTGCTTAAGCAATCTGGGGAGGATGAGGTTGGGCTCTGTAGTTAGACAGTCCTGGGTTGTTTACCCTAGTAGGTCACATGAAAACAATATGACTTCACATATGCTAACCTAATGTCTCCAAAGGTAGATTATATCATGTGATTTCCTTAAAAGAATCAATAGTACAATTATCAATGTGATAGATTGCTATACTTAAATATTACTTTTGGAACATGTAGCTGATAAATAATCCAAAATACTTTCTGATCCAACAAAGATTTACATGGGCTTAATTAAACAGGTTCAGAGTCACTTGTTACACAGGTCCAAGGCTCCCAGAGGAGTCCTACACTGTGTTCACATGATCTTAAGTCTTATATTGTTTTCTAAAAGCTTTTCCTCTTCAATTTCCCTTTTATTGCAATTTTAGTTCATCAGGTCATGATATAGTGGGATGAACATATTCCGGATCTGGCTGAGGTGAATGACTGAGTTGGAATGATGTATGTGACTCAGTCTCCTCACTGCACATGTGGAAGTTGCTGCCAGGATTTCAGTCCTTATCTAATGCTCTTTAACTTTATGATTGTTTGACTGTTTGGTTCCTTAAAGTCACCATGGTTTATTTCCAGCCAGTTTCCAGTATCTAAAGCTGCATCTCACCCCTAACCGTCTCCAATACTTGATTTGACTTCCACTGCTCACTCCTGCCACATTGCATGCTCTGATCTACTATTTGAAGTGGATTCTTTCCTTTACCTTCTTCCTCTTGTACAAAATCGTTCTACTGGGTCCCCTACTAAGGCTTTCAATAGCTTTTTTTATTGGTCACCATATATGAGACTATATTGGCATAATGTACCACTCAATATACCTCACAAGAGTGACATTGACTGTGGTAGCAGAATTGTAAGGTGATGCCCGAGATTTCTGCCCCCTAGTGTGCATGCATGGTACAATCTCCACCTCTTAAGCATTGGCAGGGCCTATGTAGGATAGGGGTCACTCCTGTGATTGAGTTACATTTCACAACTAAGGTGAGGGGGTTTTGCACAGATATCTAAGTCCCTAATCTGTTTGACATATTTTGATTTTATTAAAATGGATATTATCTCTGGTGGGCCTGCTATAATCATATTTTCTTGATGTATTTTTATGATACATTTTTTCATACATAGGTTTATATTCTTCTGTTTAAATAAATCTCACAGGTTTCATGCATTAGAAAGCATAACTCTTTGTCTGTGCATGACCATAAAGCTTTGAAACTCAACCTGAGAAGGCCAGAAAAGAGTGGGAAGTTCACTGAAATTGTGAACTTATTTTTCAACGTGGCCCCCAGAGGACACTCCTGTCTAAAGAGAAAATGGCTTTCACAGGTCAAAGTAAACTCACAAAAACCTTCCTTCTCGTTCTACCTCCCTTTCCCTCCTCACTTAGCCAACCTCCATTCTGCCCCTTTCCAGCACCGACCTGTGTTATAAGACTGAACACAGTTGTCCTGACCCCTCACCTTAAGCTCTTTCTTCCATTCCCAATCGTCTTTCTGGTTTTCTGGCTTCTACAGGGGGAGAGGGATGGGCAATTCCAGGAGCAGTTGCTGTGCGTTTGACAGGTGCAGAGGTTATCTGAATAAACTGTATTCCTGCATAAAATTATCGAAGAATAATTTTTTTAAAATTCCTTCTTTAATGCTCAGTTCAAGTTATATTGAACATCTTTTAACCAGATGCCAGAGGCAGGCCTTATGCCAAGACAGCATCTCTTTCTAACCTTGCATTGAAAGTCCCTATGAAGAAGGTATTTAAATCCCCTTAGCTCAAAGGGACCTCTGTCCACATCTGTAAGTCTTCAGGTATTATTTGTTTTCTGGGAATTCCTGGGAAGGAGTGTGATGCTTCCTGCTCACTGTGATCCCACTGTGCACCCAGAGGTGTGGCTCACCCTTATCATTCAGTCGGTGTCCATCTGGTTTAGCCCTTTCTCTGTGGACAGAATAATGTGTGGTTTTAATCTGAGAACCCCCGTATGCTGAGTTCACCCACACAGCACTGATGCTGTACTGATGATGGCCACATCCCTGTCTGTTCAACAGCTGTTGTTTAGTTGAAATGCAGCAACTCATCTCTGTTCCATAGTGTGTATTTATACATGTGCAATACCCTAGCCCAGGTCTCTAGCTCCTCCTGATCAGAAAGTTAGCGTGTTCCAGGCATTAAACCCATTCAGACTGCATGTAGGAAGAAGGAAAATGCCTTCTACCTAGGTAACCCTCCTGTGAACTACAGCGATACCTGGCCTAGCCAATTACCTTCATTGGTGCAGTAATAAGACATTGTCTTGCTGATAATCAGTAGCTCTCTAATTGGACTTCAGGTATGTTCAATAAGAGGGAATCCAGCTACATACATATTATATTCACAGATAAATGTAGCTCTCACCACTCAAAAAAGACGGCTTTTTTCAAAAGATGGAGACAATCCCAAAGTTCTACAGAATAAGTCCCTGTGAGGTGCCCAGCCCTAAGTAATGCAATGTAATCTCTAAACACTGCTCAGAGAAATTCATGGAAAAAGAACAGAAAGATTGAAAGAGCCAGAGGCACAGGACACCTGCTGCTAATCAATGCATTCTAGACATGATAGGGACATTACACCCATGAAATCTCCATGGTAGGTATGATTTCATAACAAGATCTGCAGAATGACTGACATCAAAATGAAGAGCTTCAGGCAGTAAATGGATACTGAGGGCAGGAGAATCAGTTTTTTCCAAGGACTAGTTAGAGAGGTTGTCTATGCAATCCCTAGTGGTCCCCCCTAAACAATTTGATTATATATATATATACAAATATATACATATATATACAAATATATACACTTATATACTAAGGGTATATATATATACACATATGTATGTGTGTATGTATGTATATATGTATGTATGTACAATCAAAGAAGTGGACCAGAAATTGTGAGAAGTGGGAGGCACACGGGAGGAGTTGGAGAGGGACTGGGAGGGGTAGAAATAGTGCAAATATAATACAGATGAAATTCTCAAACAAAATAAAAAAGAAAAATTCCTGTCCCCTCATATCCTCCACCAAAACTGTCAGGCAGGTCTGTGCTGGGGAGGAGCTTCAGGCACTGTGGGAGCTCAGCAGTGTCTGGCCTGGCAGGGTCTGTGGGTGGAGCTGACTGACTGCAGAGGCAGGGGCAGATCCAGAGCCATCCTGACACCACAGCCCAGGCTTTGGTTACACACGTCCATCTCTCACAGCCAGACACACATCGTGAAGAGGCTGCTGGGATCCCTGATGGGGCTTCTGTGCACCCAGGTTTGCTGTGAGTTGGGCTGCCCCACATTCAGGGCGTCTGTGAGGATTGTGCAGCTGCAGCATGTGGAGGGGCATGAGGAAAAGCAGCTCCACGTCCTGCAGGGTTTTCAGTCTGGAAGTTTATGGGGATGCCTGGTGGGCTCTGCAGTGACCATCATCTGTGATGTTCTCTGTTTCTAATCAGGGCTGAAAGGGCAACAAGTGGAGCAGAGTCCTGGAGCCTTGACTCTCCAGGAGGGAGAGAACTGTGACCTGCAGTGCAACTTTTCCAATTCTGCCAGCAACCTGCAGTGGTTTCACCAGAACCCCCAGGGCCTCCTCATCAGCCTGTTTTCCAATCCCTCGGGAACAAAGCAGAGTGGAAGACTAAAGTCCACGACAGACGCTAAGGAACGCCGCAGCTCCCTGCACATCTCCTCCTCCCAGACCACAGACTCAGGCACTTCTGTGTGGTGGACACACAGTGCTCCCCAGGCACCTGCAGTCTGAACACAAACTTCAGCTGGGTGGGTGTGGCCCTTCCCTGTCACAAGCCGGCGGGAAGCCACCAGAGAAGCCTTGCACAGTTTATGTCTCTTTCCTGTGTTGGTTGAGGTTTTCTCTCAGGTAACTTTTCGGTCTCCTGGGTTGGGGTTTTTGGTCGTTATCTTCGTTTCTCAATGTGTACTCCTTCCGGAAACAGAACTGTCCAACTTGGCATCGTTCTCAGCACAGACGCAGATAGGAAGACTGAATCTGCATAAACTTTCATGGTTAGCATAGTGTTGAACTCCAAAAGGATGAAGAGCAAATGAAGCCACTCAGATAAAACGCTGTGTCCCATGAAGCTTCTGGGTTGGTGACTCAAGTGCATGTGGGTCCTCACCAAGGGGCTGGCAGGCAAGGGCCAGACCATGCTTCCCATCCTATCAGTGCAGCAGGAAACAGTCCCTGAATGTTTATGTATTGTTAAACCTAAAATGCATTTTCCATTTATCTAACTCCTGTTCATGTTCTTGAAGCTTCTCTGGTCTAGGACCTGGTCTTTTCTGGAATGTTTCCTGCATGCTGGAGAATGACATCTTAGGTTAGACTGATGTCTGTGAGCCTTGTTTAGCTTGTGGTGCTGTTAACTTCTATTTCTATCTGTAGTTGTGTCCGTTTTTGCTTTATTTTTTTTATTTTATTACTTATTTATTTGCTTATTTGCTATTATTTATTTATTTATTTATTGGTCTTTTTGAAGCAGGGTCTCCCTGTAGCCCCACCTGTCCTGGAATTCACTATGTAGACCAGGCTGGCCTTGAACTCAGCGAGATCTGCCTGCCTCTGCCTCCCAAGTGCTGGGACTACAGGTGTGCGACACCATGCCTAGCTTATTTATTTATTTTTGGTCTTTCAGAAACAGGGTCTCCCTGAAACCCCAGCTTGCCTGGAACTCACTATGTAGACCAGGCTGGCCTCAAACTCACAGAGATCCACCTGCCTCTGCCTCCCCAGTGCTGGGATTAAAAGTGTGAACCACTATGCCCAGCTTGATTTATTGATTTTGAGAGCTGTTAGTAGATATATATTTAAGTGTTCTATTTTTCCTAACAGATAGCCTTTCCTTTCTTTACTAAGGGTTCAACTCGAGACCTCAGAAATGCTAGAAAAGCATTGTTCCACTGAGCTATACCCATAGCCCCAAGACTTTGTTAGATTTAGGAGAGCAGAAAAAGGAAGGAGTTTAAAGTTAAGAAACAAGAACCAAAGCCAGACCTGCAGCAGGCAAGGAGTGTGTTCCTTTTACTCAAGGGAACCTGGCAAAAGCCTCTGCTGTCCATGGAAAAGCATCAGCAAACCTAAGCAGAGCAATCTGGTTTTTACACAGGGACTCTGATGAATGCAGCTGTAGGAATTTGTCCTGAGTCAGGAGTCAGTGTCCTTGGGGTACTTGAGGGTCTCCTTCCTGAGGTTGTTTTCTCAGGATGAGCAGGCACAGTTATCTTTTGGCACAGCGGGTTGACTCTGCAAACAGTCTCTGTAGTGATCGGTTGATAAGGCCAGGCCTCCAGAGCAGGCTATGGCACAGCAGGAGTTAAGTGGCCCCTGTACCCAGTCTCTGCCAGCCAGGGAAGTGACCAGTTGGTAAGGCCTGATCGAAGGCCAAGATGCCAATTTGGGCCGTTTGGCTGCCTTGAGGAATTCATGAAAGGAAGCTTATGACTCTCTTGCAATTTACACATTCTATCAGACTGCGTGTTTTTCATTACTATACCTAGTCCCTCTTTACCTCTAGTAACTTCTGGTTTGTAGTATATTGTGTCTAATAGTAATGTAACAGCTGTGGCTCCTGCACAGTCGCTGTGTAGCACATACACTATCTCATTCTTTTAACTTTCAGCTTTTATACTGCAGACATTGTTCTGAAAATTATCAAGGATGAAGGCTTAATGCCCAGATCAGCACTGTTGGGTGGTGGGGCCTAGTTCAAAGTCATAGTTCATTGGGCACGTGGCCTGGAAGGGACTTGTAGGGTACCGGCTTCTTCCTCTTTAGCCCACTGTTGCAGACTTTGTCTTTATATTAACTATCTTCTGCAGTCTTCAGTGCTAGCTTGTGGTCATGAACTGCTGTTGGCTGTGCTTGTCCTGAAATGTCTTTATCTCTCCCTCAGGGCTTTTTTTTTAGTCTTTTTGAAACAGGGTCTCCCTTTGAAAATTTCCATCTGACTTTCAGTTTAGTAGTTGGGTTATGACCCTATGGAAGAGTAAAATCACATTGCTTCATCCTGTTTCTTCCAATTGTCTATTATGATTTATGCATCTGTGGTTTAGATAGCTCTTCCAGTTCACAGAGTGTGCTGTTCTTCTAATCCTTCATCTTATTCCTGAAGGCTCAACCCCAGCATCACTTGGTGAGGAAAAAACAAACTCCTCTAGATAGGCTGACAGGACCCCATCGGATGAATGTCACTGAGGGTCATCAGGTGACACTAACTTTAGTCAATGGGCCTGAACATAAATGACAGAATGTGTGAAATCCAGTGGGGGTGGGGGGTGTCAGTGGGGAAGGGGGTATAAAGATGATTACGATTTTGTGTATGAAACATAAGGAAAGCCAATAAATTTTTTTAAAAACCTGCTCCAACAGCAATAACATCAAGCCATAAACGATACGGAAATATACTGACAGGCGACTGCTCGAGTTTCCTTTCTGTTGGTGTATAAAACACTCTGAAGAAAAGCAACTTAGACAAGGAAAGAACTTTTTTGGCTTATGATTCCAGGTCACTGTCTATCATTTCAGGAAATCAGGGCAGGACGTGAAACAGGAGCTTGAAGCACAAACCAAGGAAGAGTCCTGCTTGCTGGGTTGCTCAGAGACTAATGCTTAACTAGCCTTCTTATACAGCCTAGGAGCATCTACCCAAGGAATGTGGACCTCACAGTGGGCTGGGCCTATGTCAGTTAACAATCAAGACAATCCCCCAAAGACATGCTCACAGGCCAATATGATCTGGGCCTTTCCTCAGTTGAGAGTCACTTTCAGATGACTCTAGGTTGTGTCAAGTTTGCAGATAACACTACTTAGGACTGTGGCCCCAGACTTTGACCCATCACTGGTGTCTGGCTTGGAGCTATCAAACCCCAGGGCTGTTCTCAGTTCATGGATCTCTTTCCAGGCACTGAAGGAGGGGCTGGCTCTCCTCATGCACTTCCCAGAGGAGCAGAGCTTTCTGCTCTCTGTACTTTGGACTCCACAGTATATAACCCTCCTGCTTGCCACAGCTGCCTCTCTGGCCCTTCCCTCACCCTGGTGCTGTAGCCAAACTGAGGCCCCTGGGCTGGTGGTTGTTTACTGATCTGAGCACCCTTAAGTTAGCCTAGTTCATTTATTATGTATGTTTGTTTATTATTTATGGGGGATGGGTTTTTTTTACATTGTGCTTGTGGAGGTTAGAGATCAACTTGAGGGAGTCTTCTCTCCATCCACCATACATGTCCTGGGGATCGAACATGGATCATTAGAATTGTCAGAAGGTACCTTTACCCAGAGCTATCTCGCTTGCCAGGGTAGCACTTTTTAAAGACAGATCTCTCTGGAAAGTATTCCATCTCTGCCCAGAGTCAAACACTGACAAAACTACATTTCTCTCCATCTCTGCCTGTTTGCTGCAGAATTCACTGTGTCACCAATACCTAGAAACTGGATTTGAGGCTTATTATTGCTGTGGGCTTTTCCTGAAAGTAGGACTGACATCTGCCTCGTGTCTGCCTTTCCTTTCAGAGACTGCTGTGCTCCCTCTGCCCCCAACCAGAGAACTGTAAGCTCAGGTTGTCACGGCTCACACTCCTCCTTCCTTCTCTTTTCACGTCTGTCACTTCCTTCATGGAGTCCTGAAGCATTTCCTGTTTCTCTCTTTGGGATACAGTTTTCTGTTTCTTTATTCTGACTTGTCTTCACTAAGTCACACAAAGGCAACTTCTGGTTTACATTTTTATCCAGAAGTGTTAGTTAATTTCTCAAAGCAAAGTCTCTTTGCTGTTGAAGAGACAGTTGAGGAGATAAGAGCACTTGTTGTTCTTCCAAAGGCCCCGGGTTTGACACCCAGCACCCACACGGAGGCTCTGTTATCCACTTCTGGTCTTCAATAAACATACCTGAAATCAAAACACTGTACAAATAAAATAACAAATCATTAACTAATGTCCCTTTGAAGTCAGTGATACTTCATTGAACTTAATAGAAGAGTCTGGGTCGGTGGAGGAGGGTTAAAGCTATTGAATCTTCTAGCTTATTATTCTGGATTTAATGAACCTTCCTAAATTTAGTCAGCATTCCTTTGAAATTTTCTGGGCAGTGGTCTGGGCATCTTTAAGAAAACAAAGAGACAAGCGACTAGGAGAAAATACTTGAAGCACATATTGCTCAGAGAACTTTAAATAGAATATCTAAAAAGTTCTTACAACTCAAAAGAGAACAAATGACCCAATTTAAAAATGAGAAAAATGTTTTAGTAGACTCTTGTAAAAGAATGTGCATGATAGCTAACTGTCACATGGCAGGTGCTGTACATCAGGAGTCAGCAAGCTGTCACTCATGCAACATCCAGTCATTTGCTGATTGTTACAGTTTGTAAAAGAGCATCATCGATGCCTCATGTACTCTGAATGTCTGCTCTCCTTTTGCAGAGATAAGTAGCTTCGAGACAGGATTAGAGGATGAGAACAAATAGGACTGGAGTGTTGGCCCAGTGGTTAAGAACACTGGCTGCTCTTGCAGAGGACAGGAGTTCAATCCTCAGGACCCATAGGGCAGCTAACAACTGTAATTCCAGTTCCAGGGAATTCTTTCGGTCCCTCTTCTGACTACCACAGGCACTGCAGGACACAGGTGCATGTACATACATGCAGGCAATATACTTATACACATAAAATAGAAATAATACATAAAATAAAGAACATATATAATTTAACAAATGAAACTTCATACTTCAGATGAGTGGGAGAAAAAGTGTGACGTCAGGACAATCCTAGGACATATAATGTAGTGAGTGCAATTCAGCCTCTTAAATACCTTCTAAATGAAACTCGATGTTAGATGTTTAAAGTTATTTTTCTACAAAGGTGGGTTTTAAAACTAGTGTTTGTAAATGTGTGTGTGTTCACGTGTGTGTTCACATGTGTGTTCGCGTGTGTGTTCATGTGTGTGGGTGTGTTCACGTGAGCAGGTGTATTCACGTATGTTCACATGTGTGTTCATGTGGGCAGGTGTGTTCACATGTGTGGGTGTGTTCACGTGAGCAGGTGTGTTCACGTGTGTGTTCACATGTGTGGGTGTGTTCATGTGTGGGTGGGTGTGTTCGCGTGTGTGTTCACATGTGTTTGCATGTGTGTTCACGTGTGTGTGTGTGTTCATGTGTGGGTGTGTGAATGGAGGCTAGAACTTGGCACCGTCTCCCTTTAATGTTCTCCAGTTTTCTCACATAGCACCTCTCACTGAACGTGGGACTCACCTACTGGGCTAGTCTGGTTGACCAGTAAGACCCTGGGATTCTCCTGTCTCTGCTTCCAGGGGCTAGGATTACCGGAGACCCCACGACACCTGTTTTTTATGTAGACGATGGAGAGGAAAAGCACACAACCTCATGTTTCCACAGCAAGCACTTTACCATGTGTCATCATCCCAGCCCCCAAAGACAAATATTTTATTCTTGATATAATTTTATAAAACACAAGCAAAGGAAAAGCTTCTGAATTTCTGAGGGACTGCCTTTTATCACCTGATTTAGAAGGATGTTTGTTAGTTGCATAATTAAAATTACCCTAGAAGTTAGTACGGACAGAAGAAGTGTTGCAATTCTTTTAGATACCAGTGCTTCCACAGAGAAATGCACAGATCCATGAGGGGCTTTTCTCTTCATTAATTTTATTAGATAATGGGTAGAGACAACTAAATATATGTGAATGATCTGTATCTCATAGTGTGCCCATAGCTAATAACGAATTTGACTTTGAATGGGTCCCCCAAATTATACCACTAACTGGCACCAGTGTGTGTAAAGCAGTTAGATGTGTAGTTCACCTCAGCCTCATCCCTTAACAGGAATGAATTTTCTCATGTTCTTTTTGAAGTGCTGCTTATTTTAAGCACCAAGAAAGACAACTAGGCAAGTAAAAATTTGTTGGGAGTTGTGTTTTTTCTCTCTGTACACAGAACTTGTGGCCCAGGACCGTATGAAAACTCACTTCCTGGTAGGTGTACAGTATAAAAACCCAGACTTCGCATATGCACACTGACACCACTCAGAGACACTGAACACTGAGCTGAAGCAGAACAGACACATTTGTGCAGGACATGTGCCACGTGCCTCCCCCCAGCCCTCTGTGTGTGCTCATGGCCTTGGCCTTCTCTGGTATGGTGAAGGTTTGCACTGAGGCATACGGTGTCTCACAGGGACCTGAGGAAGAGCAGACATGGGAGAAAAGCAAGTGGAATGTGTCTTCAGTCTGGCTTCCCTTTGGGTCTTAAGTTAATTTAATTCTTACAATGTTTCACTCAACATCAAATGATCAGTTGTCCATTCTGATTGTTCAACAGGATCCACTGTGGCCCAGAAAGTGACTCAAGTCCAACCAGCCACAAGCAGACAGGAGGGAGAAGCGGTCACCCTGGATTGTTCATATGAAACAAGTCAGACCTTATACCATCTTTTTTGGTACAAGCAGCTTCCCGGTGGAGAGATGATTTTCCTTCTTCGTCAAATTTCTTCTAGTCGAAATGAAAAGAGTGGTCGCTATTCTGTCTCCTTCCAGAGATCAGCCATGTCCATCAGCCTCACCATTTCAGCCTTGCAGCTGGAAGATTCAGCGAAGTATTTCTGTGCTCTTGGGGAATTCACAGTGTTTGAAAAGATACTACAAGCTGAACAAAAACTGGAGCTCCTTAAGCATGGCCCTTCTTGGAGTTCAGCAGAGAGGCACAGGAGTGGATTTTCTCTTGCTCCCTTTTACATTCTGTATGTTTTAATCACCAAGAAAGATGGCTAAGCAAGAAAAAATTTGTTGGAAGCTGCACTTTTTCTCTCTGTGCACAGAATGTGTGGCCCATGATCTTGTGTAACCTCACTTCCTGTGCACAGCATAAGAACCCGGGAAGTACATCTGCAAACTGACACCACTCAGAGACACTGAACTCTGAGCTGGGGCAGAACAGACACATTTGTGCAGGACATGTGCCACGTGCCTCCCCCCAGCCCTCTGTGTGTGCTCATGGCCTTGGCCTTCTCTGGTATGGATGATTCACATAGAGTTAAGATATTAAGGTCAAAGCATTGCACCCAGGTGTAGAGTGCTTCGCATGGACCTGAGGAGGAGTGGAGATGGGAGAAAAGCAAGCAGAGTATGTCTTCAGTTTGTCTTATTTTTGTCTGTGTGTGCTCATGGCCTTGGCCTTCTCTGGTATGGATGATTCACATAGAATTAAGATATTAAGGTTGAAGGTTTGCACTGAGGCATAGAGTATTTCACATGGACCCGAGGAGGAGCAGAGATGGGAGAAAAGCAAGTGGAATGTGTCTTTAGTCCGGCTTCTCTTTGGGTCTTAATTTAATTCTTACAATGTTTCACTCAACATCAAATGATCAGTTGTCCATTCTGATTGTTCAACAGGATCCACTGTGGCCCAGAAAGTGACTCAAGTCCAACCAGCCACAAGCAGACAGGAGGGAGAAGCGGTCACCCTGGATTGTTCATATGAAACAAGTCAGACCTTATACCATCTTTTTTGGTACAAGCAGCTTCCCGGTGGAGAGATGATTTTCCTTCTTCGTCAAATTTCTTCTAGTCGAAATGAAAAGAGTGGTCGCTATTCTGTCTCCTTCCAGAGATCAGCCATGTCCATCAGCCTCATCATTTCAGCCTTGCAGCTGGAAGATTCAGCAAAGTATTTCTGTGCTCTCTGGGAACTTACCCACAGTGCTTGAAATGACAGTACAGCTGAACAAAAACTGGAGCTCCTAAGCGTGGCCCCTCTCGGAGTCCAGCTGAGAGGCACACCTGCACGTCCCCGACAAGAAGGGTGAAACTGTGATTGCTTCATCTGCGGTCTGGGTCAGAAGTCTAATTCGAAGTAAAACCTCCTGTACGTAACTGGAAACAGTTACCAGTAGCATCTTTCTTTTAATATGTTATTTTGAATTTTTGTAGTCAAAAATAGATCATACAGGAGACCACCCCCAGGAACATTTATTAGTCTCCTGACTTCTCTGGATTTTCAAACTGAAACCTCATGTCTAGGATTTTTAAACTAGCATCTAGCTATGAAACAGAACATGAAACATTTGTGTTTCTGGGTATGGGCTGCCTTACCCCAGATGACTGTTTCCAGTTCTAACATTTACGTGTGAATCTTATTCCATTTTTTTAAAGAACTGAATAATATTCCAGTGTGTGAATGTACCAGACCTTCATCATCCATTCATCAGTTTATGGACATCTCTGTTGTTTCCAATTTCTGGCTACTGTGAAAGGGCAGCAGTGAACATGGATGAACAGGTATTTCTCAAGTAGTGTATAGTGTTTTGGGTGTATACTCGAGTGATGTGACTGTATCATATGGTAGATCAATTTCAAACTTTCTGAGGCATCTCCATACCGATTTCCATAGGGACTACACCACTTTACACTCCCACCAACAGTGGGATAAAATCTCAAAGTGGTTTTAATTTTCATTTCTCTGATGGCTAAAGACGCTGAACCTTTTTTAAAGCATTTCAGTCAAGCCATTTGCATTTCGTATTTAGAGAACTTTTCATCTCCTTGTCACAGATTTTACTTTGGTTATTTGCTTTTTTTAGTTCTTGGTATACTGTAGATAATAATCCTTTGTCAGCATAATAGCTGGTAAAGGCGTTTCCCTGTTCTGCACGTTGCTACTTCACTTGGATGATAGTGTTCCTTAATGTTCAGATGCTTTTTAGTTTAATGTGGTCCCATTTGTTAATTGTTGGACCAAATACTTGTGCTATAGGAGTGCAGTTCAGAAGGCCTTTCCTGTGCATTTAAGTTTCAATACTTTCTCCTCTGTCTGATTCAGGATATCAGGTCTTATGATGAGTTCCTTCATCCATTTGGAGTTGAGTTTTGTGCATGGTGAGAGATAGGAATTAGTTTTCTTCTTCTACATGCTGCTATGCTGTGTGTTATACATTATAAAAATAGATTAAAAGGTGGACCTTAGAATACTGGGTCATTGATGCTTGTAGACATCATAGGTCTAAAAATAAATCCTTAATGCCAAGAATGGATGCCCTCTCAGCTTCCGGCTGTTGATTGGGGATACCGTAGGCCCTCAAACAATCAGGTCATTGGCCCTGCTCTTGGTTACTCACCAGAACTTGATGGTAAGATCCAACTGATGACACTGCAAATATGAGTTATATAACAAACAAGGAGAAATCAAGCTGTGCAGACATCAGAACTTCATCTTTACTGGCTAGCTTTCATAGTGCTAGAAGGTGTTATGCATGCTATCTTAAGGAAAACACAATCACACATTACCCAGCTATCAATCCTGTGAACTATAACAACAGGCCTGGCAAGATAGGCCCACTGGTGCAATAGTGGTATGAATAGTATAGGAGTAACCAACCAGTACCCAACTGGATCTAAGGTTCACATCATAGAATGGAACCCAAACCTGACATTGATATTAGGTTTAAGAACCTGAGGCTAGACAGTTCACAGGACAAAAGGAGGGCCTAGTATCAGTTTCCTATTAAATAGTTATATTATTAAAGTGATGCCTAGTGATTTATTGTTATAGACTAATGCATCTCTCAACTCTAAAGGTTTCCTTATATTATAGACGATAAGTAACCTATAACTGGTCAGTGTGTAGAGACAAGAGAGTACAGATTACTTGTCTTTGAATTGGACATCTGTATCAAACATCTAACCTTTAAGGCTCAGGCAACATTGCAAAAGAGGAGCCAGAAAGATTGGAGGAGGCAGAGGTGGTGGGTGATCACAAGGAAGTAAGAGTTTTTCATAAAACTTCTCAGTAACTCATGTGAACTTACAGTATTGGTGACAGCATGCACAAGTCCCATGCAAACTTAAACTAGAAATCCCAGTATAGACATGGAGAGTAAGAAACCCAGATGTATCTGTGGTACTACTGACAACAGCAGCTGCTGGGAGTGGGAAGGACAAGCTCTTTTAAGGATGGGAATCTGGTAGGATAACCAGGCTCCAGTAGATGGACCCACACTAGATGACATTTGGGTACACAAATTAGACTGTATAGGCCTCATTATAAGTATACTAGAGTGCATTAAAATGGGTGGAGGCAATAAGGGGTGATGTAGATTTGGGAGGGGATCTGAATACAGTCAAGTAACATTGTATGAAAACAGAAAATGTTAGCAAAAAACAGATCATACAGAATATTGGTAATGTTATCTAAAGTTGAAAACCTGCCCTATCCTAACTTAAACTGCTAGTTTTCTAGATGGCATGAGCACTTATTTAGGTCGAGATATTGGGAATAGCAAAGAAAATATGTTCTTTATGAAAGTTAGAGTCAGAGAAGCAGAACCATCAGGAGTGAAGTAGAGTAAGGGTAATTATAAAGAATTAACATCATGAAGTTACTGGGGCTGATGGGAGAGACTATGCAAGCCTTAGTCCTTGCATATGGTACTGAGCCTAAATTACTGAAGGTCATGTAGACCAACAATTGAGAAGGAAGCTTGCATGATGGCAGCACTTGGATGAAATGCAGCGTGTAAAGGTACAGTGAGACCCATGAGGGCAGTTGAATTTTACAAGGACAAACCTTCCCCACCTACCAAGTCACGTTTGTTGGTGAACTTCAAAAGAGGCACTGTCATTTGCCAACATGCAGTTTCAGTACTGGACCAGGGCAAAGAAAACCCGTAGTAACTGGAGGAGTGGGGATTCAGTGATAAACTCAGCTGCCGGATCAGTAACAGCACATGAGCTTCCTGATGCTTCCATCAGAATCTGCAGGGTCACGTCAACAGTAAATGCTGTGTCTCACCTTCCTTCTAAGTCTTAGAATCTTTCATCCATTATGTCCAACCCTAAAGCAGAGCAACATGGGGAGGTGAATTCTGGGAAATCTGTTTCCAGAAACCTTTCTTTTTTCAAAATTTGTTTATGTCCTGGGTATGAGTGTTCTCCCTGCTGCATGCCTGTATGTCACCACACATGTGCCTTCCTGGGGTGCACAGAAGCCAGAAGAGGGTGTCGAATACCCTGGAAGTGAAGTTGTAGATGGTTGTTAGCCTCCATGTAGGTGGTGGGAACTGGTCTTCTGCAAGAGCAGCACTTACCCTTTGCCATTAAGTCATTCCTCCAGCCTCTGTTTTCAAAGAACAAAGCTACCATAGGATTTCTGGCGAAGACGTCAGATCAGAAGATGCACTTGAGTGATCAGATGAAAAACAGTTAATATAAAACCACAATAGATTCTACTCATACAGGAGAAAGAAAATAGAAGTTAGCTAAGGTGGGGCTTTCTCCTCAAAGAAATAGTTAAACCACCACCCACCAAATGCAGCTCTTGCAGCAGCCATCACCTGTAGACCCTGTGAAGTGCCCAAGGGCATGGGCTCTGTGAGAGCCAGGGGGAGACAGATCTGGGCTGCAGTAACACAACCAGATGCTTAATAAAGCATGTGCAGGGGGCCAGCAGGGGCACAGCAGGCACTGAAGACTGAAGCACACATGTGGTGTGAACCTGAGCCTGGCACTGGTAGACATCTGTCAGAAAAAGCCACGTCCTTTCCACTGCCTGGGAGAGCTAAACCACATCACAGAGATAGTGCTGCACAAACTGTTACAGTATCCTGATGGTGCAAAAACAGCAAACTAAGGTGGGCAGACCTTTCACACAGTCTAAGAACATCAGTCACAGAAAGTTCTCTGCATAGTGTTTCCGTAAACATAAAGACAGTTTGTAACTCGCAATGGTGTGTGTGTGTGTGTGTGTAGGCTCACATTAAGGACTTCTGTCTCTTTGGTCACAGAAATCCTCATTTGGAAGGACACTGACCTAACTTGTTTGGGTTATTGAGACTGGTAGCCTTTCCCCCATCCATGAAGATGATTGCAAAGACAATCCAAGTGGCGGGAGGAACCGCACCGTTCTGAGAAGGAAATACTGGCTGTGTGCATAACACTTTCTCTTTCATGTTTTCAGTTATTTTAATATTTTAAACTTATTTATTCTTTAAATTTTTCATATGTATGTACTATGTGTTTTGATCACATTCTACCTATTATCCTCTCTTGTCCTCCTCCCTCTTTCCTCAAACCCGTTCTTTTCCCAAACACATCACACTCCTACATTCCTGTCATTTTTATTGTGCCAACTGCATTTAATCAGAGTTGCGTTGATGGTCACGGGTGGGTGGTTATTTACTGGAACAAGAACACCTTAGCATTACCTTCACTGCGGAGGAAGACGTCTACCCTACCCCTCTTCCCAGAAGCAGTACCTGCCTATAGCATCTCAAATAGGGTCAGGGCCTCATGAACCTGTCCCTGTCCATGATGGAATGTTCAAAGACCCAATCTTGTGCAGGCCTTGTACATATAACCACCACTGTTGTGAGTTCAAGTGTGCAAGTCATGTCATGCCCGAAAGACAGCGTACTTTAAATTTATTATTATTTACAGTTTTGTATTTTGTTCTGCTGCTGTGTATCAATTTGTATCCTGCCAACAGAAGCTTCTGTGGCTGCCCGTTCTCTGTGCCTCCGCGCTCTCTACTCCTGTACTGACTTCCTACTGTTCGCTACAGCCCATCTGCTTTTCCGCATTCTCCTTTTAGTATTTCTGTTCCTCTTTCCTATTCCTTAGTCACTTCATTACTTAAAATTCAGCTCAAAAACAGCACATATTTTCTGTACAGCTGTCATTAACTCTGCTGGGGAAATAAGTGAAGTGCAGTGTCTGGGACTTTTGTTAAACCATTGTGCCTGTTAGTGCGGTTACCGTCCTGATAAATAGCAACAGGAAACAGAAATGTAAGTGAAGACACTCAGAAGAACTCACATAAAATGAAACAAACAGAAGGAAAAAACCCCACAAGACTAAGGAGAGATTCATCACCACAGATGTTCACAACACAACTAAGAAACATAAATATGTGACAGCACCCACCGCGACACCTCCGCAAGCTCCCACCTCAGTGCTGGACACCACAGATAAGGAGACGCCTTAATGCCGGACAAAGATTGCAGGGTCGTCTGAAGGGTATCGATGAGCACATACGAGACTCAAAGAAGCAAATGATCAAAGTAAGTGAATTAGCTGAGGATTGATTGGTCAAAAAGTTTTCAAGTGGCTGAAATGGAAACTTCCGTGAGGAATTCACAAACCTAGAGGAAAAATTCAGCAAGAAAACTGAGACTCTTAACATGAACCAAACATAAGTGCTGGAAATGCAGGAATTAATAAGATAAAATACAGTGGAAAGCATCATTAACAGACCAGACCAGGAAGTCTAATCACCTTAGGAGACAGAAGACAGCGTCAAAACAGCAATGCAACCAGAAATGTGGAGAAAATAAATTAATGAACACATCCAAAACTTCCAAGAGCTTCCAAGACACAGTCAAGAGACAAAACGTAAGAATGCATAAGGCAGAAGACGTTGAAATAAATTCTGAAAAGATAGACAATTTATTCAATTAAAATATTGTAGTAACTTTTCCAAACCTAGAAAAGAA